TATTTGCTACGTGATTGGGTGCATCTGGTGAAAAGAGACGACAAATAAAGGCCAATGACGGGCAGAAGAAACGCACGTCAGCACGCTACTCGTGGTTGCCACGAGACGGTAGGGCACGAACGTGTAGACAAGCTGAAAGCCTACTTTGGTGGAGAAGCTGTGATCAGCTGCATTGCGTTCCAGGACCAGCAATGATTCCGACATGGACTTCCACGGGATTCCTTGTCTGCTGGCCCTGCTACGTCGATGCTCGATTGAGGGGCACCGGGAAAGAAGGCAATCTGCCAATGAGTGGGACACCAAACGGGAACAGACGACGTTGAGACAAACGAAGTATTTCGATGTGACCAGGATGCGCTTGACGTTGGTCGCCTAGGACAGACGCGTTTCTGTTGCAGCCGCAAGGAAGGCCACCCAAGAGTGTGATTGGACGAGGCCAAATTCGAATTGGTTGGGCCGAGAAAATCGGTCTCACCACCACATCAGGAGCCAAAATCCTTCTGACAGTACGCGGTCTGCCTCAATTACCAGACATCTCGAAAGACAGCGCGGTTCAAGCACGGGGCCGAGGCCAAAACTAACAATGCAGACGGATGGTGGCAGAATCTGGTGTCCGTGTCGTGGGAAAAGCCGCTTGGCTGCTGATTCCTGCCCGATGCCAATGCGAGAGCCCATCTTGCTCGTTCATGCCGTGTGACGGGGTGTGATTGATATCGTTCGATGCATTTCGAACTCCGGCTGGTTGATGACAACGAAGGCGTTGACAAGGCGTAGTCAAGACTGCAGCCTCGTTCATCTAGGGGCTGCATACTGTATGCCGTTTGCTGTATGCTTTGACCGGTTCGTAAGAAGCCTGCCCTTGCAGGTTTGATGGCGGTTCCCTGTGGCATGCAGCAGGTGGTACAGTTATGCCTAGAATAGATGCGCCAGGGTCTGCGTTGTCCATTGTCGTTGCAACTGCTAAGATGGCGGGAACCGGGGGTAGCTGCGGGCGTCCGTTACGGGTAGGTTCGAGGACACAGAATGGAGGGTCTTGACAGCAGTTCGTGGAGAATCCAGCTGTACAAGGGCAAGATGAAAGGCAGGTGAAGTAGCCAGGGTCAGGGCTCTTGCTCAGGCTGTAGCAGATATCAGTCGGTTGAAGCCCAAAGCTCGATGTGTGAAAGTAAGGCACCTTGGAGAGCATGGGTAGAAGCGAGCTTCTCTGTTCGGATCATTCTGTGTCTTGGGGATGATCATGAACAGGTGCAAGTCGTGCCGGCCCGTTATGAGGCCAGGTCCAGGTTGTCCGTGAACACGGCCTAGCCCTTATTCAGGGGTTCTTGGTAAGAAACTAGGCCGGTACCGCTGGCGGCTTAGGGTAGGATGTGGGATAACGATTTTGCTTCCGACTTGAAAGCAAGTAGTTGAGCCTCTAAGCTGAGACGCGTTCGTTGGAATTGTCCAATTAATCAAGGCAGTTGTCCGGTGCGTGGATGGCAGGGCGTTGGGTTGTGGCTTGACGACGGGTGTGGATGTTGGACGTTGGAAGGCAAGGAGGAAAGCGCCGGTGGAAAGCGTAGACCCGGAGCTGTTTGAAAAGTGGGTCTCTCGGAGCAAGGGGTGTCACAGCCGACTGCATTTGATGCAGTCGGATGATGGCCATTTGGTGGTCCATTGGTGGTGTTGGGTGACTGCCCCATTTCGGCTAGATCTTTTGACAGAAGGCACTACCCGTGGCGACCGGCACGAGGAATGAGGTGGCCGAAATCTGCGGAGAGAAGAGAGACGGGGAAGCTAAAAGCCCCTCCCGTGAGCTTCCTCTTTCTGTAGATCTCTGGAATCCCAAGCCCACCTGAGGTGATGAAGGTATCTTCTAGGTATCTGAGGTAGGTACCTTACTTTCCCCCATTTCATTCTTGCTAAGGTACGGATAAGGTACCTTTAATTTTCCAAAGAAGCTGACTTCCTGCCTCAGTACTCCGCACCTCAAGGCACCTATACCCCAAGGTACCTTATCTTGAGCTACAGAAGATAGGCAGAAGCGACTGAGATTTTGGATTGATATTGAGATGCCTAAGCCTGAAGGATACGCGGTGGCGGCGTTAGCGTCCGCTCCAATTCAGCGCCGGTTTCTATTTTCAACGTCTTCTTTGTGGAAAATAAGGTGCCTTATGCAACGTGGACACAATGATTAAACGATTGAGGAGAACGCATCGGAGCTGTTGTGCTGGGGAGAGTCGATGGTGGCTTGGGAAAGTGCGTGTTCGTTCCGGCGCTAGGTACAGTGCCAGCTCCTGCCGTTTGATGAAGAAGCACCTTGAGCTCCTGCCGATTACCTATCAAGAGGCATCGTTGCGCACTGTGAGTCGCACCTGCCGCCAATACCCCTGTTCCTGGTTTCTGCCTGGACCGTGTGACGCAGCCTGGAACGATGGAGGCGCAAGCTGTATCCGTACAGTACCTTACCTAGTTAGATGCACCAACCTTAAGGTGAAGGTGCGTCAGGCCCCATTCCTTCCCCTCCATATTGTCACGCTCCTTCCCAGTTCAATGCCCGTCGTCAACGCGTCTGCAGCCTCAGTATCAACCGCATGCTCATGATTCAAGTTTCCGCCGGATGAAAGGTACGCCTGTCAACTCACTCATCATCAACCTATGTCATCGGCCTCAACTCTGGCCTCGACTTTGACCGCGAATTAGACCCCATCTCCTCGGCCCGCCAGCTCGCTTGACCACTGTCCCTTCTCCGTATCCTACTTACCCGAGCACCCCTCATCCGTCCCGATCATCCCTTCCTCGCGCCTTTGCTTCGCATTCTATCTTTGCCCGATGGTTCCCCCGATCTTTGCCAGCATCGAATAGGACAGTCGATCCCGAGTGGACGCGTTAAGCATTTCGTCGCATTACTCTTGAGCTGGAGTCTTCATGCTCCTCTCGTCACATCAACGAGACTAGTTCCGCGCCGCGGATTTCCTCCAAGCGTTAAGTCTACCGGTCGCTGGCCGGGCCTCCAACGACCAGTCTCTCCACGGCACGCGCGCGCAAAGCGCAAAAACATCTACTTACCCGACCTTTTCTGTTTCACTTTGACGCGCGCGGTACTCTCCTCGACTCGTCTAATCTTCTCGACTTCAGCGCATCTTTCTCTGTTCCCAACCTACTATCCACACAAGGTTACCAACCTATCGCGAGGCTTGCCGTGCCATGGTACCCAGCATATCTGCCCATGGTCTCATCTGAAGCACTTGGCTCTATCCCGCACTCCCTCATAGCGACCTCGTCGGTCCCCGCGCCCCTTCCTTGCTTCCTACGCAACTTATCCACGCAATTTCGTGCTTAGCGCCTACCCGGGCTCCGGACCATACTCCGAACCGAAGAATCCCCATTTCATTATTACTCCGAAGTAACGGGCAACCACCTTATTGACCACGACTGGACTTGAACAGCTACTCCAGCTGTACCAACTGTTCGTACAGCTCCACATCTTTGTCTCATCTGTGCTTGTGCTCTTTGGAGACCAGAACAATTCATTTGGTGTCATCACCATCTCGTCGCTTGCAGGCGACTGACTCAGCCATGGACGCAATGCACGACGAGATGGCCCCAGATCAGCTCCTCTCTTCGACCCGCCAGCTTGCTATATCACATTCTTCTCCCGCATTGTCTGTACCCGCCGGCGATCATGGCCCGGGCTACGCCGTTTCCTCCACTCAGCTCGACTCCACGTATCCGGCGGTCACTGATGCCCGACCATGGCCCCAAGCAGCCGATGGGGTTCGTGACGATGATTACTACTACCATCATCACGAACAGTACCTTCTCGAGGCCTCGTCAGCGTCTTGTCTGGCGTTGTTTCGGCCTCCATATCAGCCTACAGGCGCCATTTCAGAAATTCCAAACGAGATCATGCTACACATCCTTGGCTATTTGGATGTGAATGATCTCTTGTCAACTTCGAGGGTAGGCGTTCCCCACACACAAGTGACTGTCTATTCTCTTTTGCCTTGGAACTCACTCGCTTCATCCTCCCTTATGCGAAATTCCCACCTGTGCTTGCTGTCCCCTCCGTTGACCGACCCCGTTGTTGCTGAACTCTGCTGATGACATAGACCAATCATCACCTGCGTCACCTGTCCCTCTCGCCTATTCTCCATCACTATCGGCTCCGTCACACGCGTGCCATCCTGCCGCCGTTGTTATCTTCCCCTTCCCGCCCTTCTCTAGCGGAGCTCATCGCCCGCTCCATCTTTCTGACTCACACATCGGTCGTCTCGCGACGCCTTGCTCGCTCTCTGGTCTCCATCCGACTGTCCCGCCGACTGGCCTCGCGGCCCTCGGCCGAAGCCCTCGTCAAGCGGGCTGTGCTCCCGCCGGAATGTGTCCCCGGAATGAGTTTGGTGCAAGTCGCGCCCGCTCTCGTTGCGAAGCGCCGCGCTATTGAAAAGGAGAAGGTCAAGGATGGCTTGAGAAAGTGGGTAGAGGGCGTGTGGAAGGGCGAGGTACGTCAGCGAGAAGAGGGTATCAAGAAGTGGGAGGAGACCAAGGGCGTGGGTAGGGTCTGGCGGCTCCGACGATTCTGGGAGCGTGTGTCGAGGGGCGACGGTGCCGATCTCCGGTAGGCCAGTGAGGCACTCTGTACGACTCTAAACTGAACTGGGTATCGAATTGGGCATTGAGTTGCGGCTCTGGGAGCCGCCAACGGCGTTACTGGGCAAGGATCACGATGTATTCATAATGTCGGTCATAATGAGCCAAATGTGCACTAGCAAGCAACTGTGAATTCCGTTGCCGTCTGTCTGTCTTCGCGCAATGTGGCACCTTTGCATGTCACTATGGAACACACATAGGATAGCATCCTGTCCTAGGTTGCGAAAAGTTGTGGATGTAATAGTCGTCAGGTTTGTTAATGCTACAAGTAATCATAATCCACCGCGCTCAGCCGTCCTACAAACCAGTCTGGCCAACAAAGCAGTGCGAAGCACCGGCCTCGATAAGTATTCCCTTATGAATCTTCTACCTTAATCCGACCGTTTGCTCGTTTCAAGAATAATAGCAATAATCCAAAGAATGCCTACGAGGACAGAAGCCCAGAAAGAACAGAGCGAGACGTAGTAGATTGTACGGATTCGACTGTCGATTCTCTTTTGGAAGATAGGGTCAAAAAGGCCGTCTTCGGAGGGATACGTGGTCTTTGGGGGTTTCTTCCAAAGTGAAAAAAATCCAAAAGTTAGCAAATTGTCGATACAGAATGCAAACGGTAGCAGGATTGCACTCACTTCGATAGAAGGCTTGGGAGACACAACGGGGCGGCGATTACACTCGGGGCATTGATGATGAGGGCCGGCGCACTGTAAATTGCCATCGTCAGCGAGTCTGCTCTGGAAATCATTGACGGATCGAGAGTCCCGCGATCGTGCATACCTCGTCGCAAAAGACATGGCCGCACCCGAGGGGTTGGCAGAAGGAAGCGCGACATTGTCTGCACTGGTGGGCGGGTGCTACACCAGGAGACGCTGAGCCTGATGCCGGAGTCGACGTCGGTGTTCTTGGCTCCGTCCCGGCAGCCGAGACATTGGTGTCATTCGCAGCAGCAGCAGCCATTGTGAGCTTGTGATAGCCGTAGTCTAGCGACGGGTGATGGGTCTGGCTGTTCGATTTTCCAGATGGAGCAACACGTTGATAAACGGAAAGACGACGGCGTTCGCGTGAAAGAAATTGCTCTCAAGATGAATTATCTCAGTGGCGGCCGGCGCGGAAAAGAGAAGATTTGGAGAACGATGTCTGGGGTTTGGCTGCTACCGGAAGGGAATAAGGACAGAGCTGTGATGAGATGATTGATGCCATGTAGTTCGGAGATTGGGACATCATGTTAGCACTCAAGACTCGAACCTGCCAACTGCCATCCATGGAGGTGTAAAAGATGGAAGGAAGGAATTACAGAGGTACATAATGATGCTAGGTACCTAGGTAGCTCCCAAAACTGACATGAACCCAGCCTGATGTTTCTGCTTGACGAGCAGGTGCATACTTCAAGGAGGACCGGTGTGTGCTGCGGTGTTGCTGACGTGCCACGAAAACCTGAAGCACTAACTCAGTCCCAGAAGGATGCCCCTGAACCTTCTCGTAAATGCTTCCTGAGAATCAAGCGTCACGGCCGCTTCTGAATGATGGCACCTTCCCAAGGAAAACCTGCCCCTGATGTTGTGGAAGGTACTCATCGCGACAAGGAAGATTCCGTGTTCAATGACTCTCGAGGCTATTTCTACCTACCTAGGTACCTTCAACATTCCAGATCTTGCCCGAGCAGTCATTTAATGACGGGAATTGGAGGTAAGCGGACGTCAAGTCAGTTTTCCTTTTACGAAAGAGTTGGAAATGCGTCAGTATCACCGCTAACCAACATGATGCCGAACATCCACCTCACATACTCGTTTTCAAGTTGCGGATGCCATTGACGGGCAATTACGAGCATTTGGAGACCCAAATTCCTCTAAGAAACATGAAGTCGTCTTATTTACTATAGCGGTTGAGCACTGAGCGCGGAAGGATTGGTCGACACCCTACAGGAGATCGCCGCCAGCAACTCACTCCAAACTTTGCGCGCCACAGTGCATGATCATTCCCAGGGCGACTTTCAGTCTCCTTGGTCCGGCTATCCCAATACTTTATAAAGCACCATATAGCGAATTAGCTGCATCTCAACCTTTTGTAACTACGTGCGAATACACTTTCCGAATATTTGACACGCCATGGACCTACGGGAGAAAGTGGAATGGACAAACTAGCCCAGAAGCCTAGGTATTTGCGACCTCTACGGGCCCGAAAGACAGCCTGAGTAGACATTTTAGGGTCAGTGATAGGAATTCCGCTTGATTTTTGCAATGCAGAAGCACCTCAAGTCTGACTTACACCTACATCTCTTATCCTACCAGGCGCCGAGACACTACACATCGTCTGCAAGACTGCAACACGAGTTTTCCATCAGGTCCGTATTAACGGACACTGATTTCAGTACCTCTTACGTATCCAAACGATCAGTTGCACCGTCTGACTTGGTGTGGGGCACCAGATCTTCAACAACTTACTTTTGCGTCAGGGGTTGAGAGCTGTGGCCCGTAGGGGGTATGTCGTCTGGCTGCCCAGTGCAGATAATGATATCGCCGAAATTATGCCCTCCGTTCTGCTTTCTTTTTCTAATTTTTCATCCGCTGCAGATATGTAAGATGACCGAGAATGAAGTGCCGCAGGACGAGTCAGACGTACAAGGTGATAGCTAATTCGATCACTTCTGCACGTGTACGGTCCACGGATCGAAGTCACCTCGGACATAGTGGCAGTGTTCTGCCTGCGTAATCTCCTCAAGCCTGTGACAAAAGTTTCCACCTACACACCATCTTCTGGAGGCAGTACGCAAGTCGGCTCTGCCGAAAACCCAAACAGAAGACCGGTCATACTATTTCGGAACACTCTAGAGCCTAGACAAACTTTGTTGTGTTCGACTGCTGTCGTCTTTGGGGCCGAAATCAGTCTCAGATAGGGGCTACTTAGTTGTGCAGGTAGGTATCTAGCCAAAGCTAAGGGACATTACCGGGGCCGAAAGCACGGGTTCACACCTCACCCTTCGACCCACGCGTTCCCAACGGCCGTATGTATCTGCGGCGGAGGGAGACTTCTGTCACGTCGTCAAGCCTTGCAGCCCGCTGCACCCTGTACCCCTTATCTTCAGTTCCATACTAGTGGCTTTGGCTAGAAATGTAGGGCCTCATAACTCGCTCAGATACTCAGCCTTGTTGATTTAGTATAGAATTGTGCACAACTGTGCCTAGCCATACAGTATTCGAGTTTATTCCCATGGCAATATGTGTAATCGATCTTGGACCCATCTCCAAGCTACGGAGATTCTGCGCTAGCGAAAAAGGAAGTCGAGTTTCGAGCCCATAATGTACTCTTTGATGTTCGCTTTCGAATGCGAGGTTTTCAAGTCTAATCGCAGCGTCCGTCATAAATGTTATAGGGCGGCATGTAGTCCTCATGCCAAAATAGTACATAGGATATTCATACCCTTCTTCATCATCATCATTAAAATAATAATAATAATAATAATGATAATACACATGCCAGTCAGCACGCCGAGTGTCTCTCAGTCAAAGTCATGCCGAAACATGTATGGAAATGGTGGATATGTTTGCTTTTGAGAAGTCTCTTTCAGCTTTGGAAAAGGGGGTGTGTATCACATGCTGGATGAATTCGCAATGCACCCAGAATACCTCGTATACTTATATCCCCAATTTTGAAAGGAGATTCTCAAAGTAGAAGTAAAAGATCAAAAAACATAGAGAACTTTGCATCTCATGCCATCCGTAGAACGTGGTTTGACTCGGATTCCTCGTCGTTCACTAAGGTAAGTCATCAGACAGCTACAACTCAAATAAATACTCATCACTCTCCCCACTATCCTCATTATTAAGTCATATTTTCCAAAGAAAGTAGCCTTTGATAAGCAAGACGAACTTTTCTCGGCAATTGGTTCTTGATGCCTCGTCTAGGTCCGTATTATTTGGCGAGCATTCGATGTCTCATTTGGCATACTAATACTTGACTCAGGTGAACATAAAGGTCTCAAAAATTCTTCAGCACATTTTTTAGTACTCGCCAAGAGTCATGGTATACATGGGAACATTAATAACCTGGAGCTTGGGGATGATCTTTGTGTAAGCTCGAAGCGGTTCCATCTGAGCAAGTAGGGTGTCAAACTGGGAATCCCCTTGGGTCGTTGTTATAAGTCAACATACCCACTTCCTGGCACCCCCCTGTTTCTGGCACCACAAAAACGATGGGATCACAACCCAACCTCCTCATTACTATTAACTATTGATCCTCAACCACACCCACTACAATACAGCTGCCAGCCTCACTAGGGCATTCAGAGTCGCTGGATTCAGCCGTGATAACCTCCTTTTCACCCGCTTCGATTTGAGCCCGATGGATATCCCTGATGTTCGCGAACTTCGTATTGGGATCG